GATGTATGTTACCAGTGGCCCGGTGGTCTGGTGGCTAAAGCTCCCGCTTCACACACGGAGGGCCCGGGTTCGATTCCCGGCGGGTGGAAATTCCGACATGTTTCCTTACACCTGTTGTCCTGTTCACCTAGCAGCAAATAGGTACCTGGGTGTTAGTCGACTGGTGTGGGTCGCATCCTGGGGGACAAGATTAAGGACCCCAATGGAAATAAGTTAGACAGTCCTCGATGACGCACTGACTTTCTTGGGTTATCCTGGGTGGCTAACCCTCCGGGGTTAAAAATCCGAACGAAATCTTATCTTATCTTAAAGGTGGGGTAGCAGTGGCGATAAAGGAGACCAGCCCCTTGCGTGTCATCAGATGGGAAGAAGGGGGGGGGGAGGGTCGTGAGGGTGGATGGTGTGTGGGGTGAGAGTCGAGCAAGTTTCGTAGGAGTTTACATGCCAGCAACTAGTAATATCAGGGTAAAAGTAGATTTTGTCAGGGAGGTACTGATGTATCACTTGAGAGGTTTGCCTGCTATAACAGTAATTGGAGGTGATTGGAATTGTGTGATTCGGAGTGGTGATGTCGAACCGAGAGGGGCGGGTTGTGTGTCGAGTGTTCTGAGGATGTATTGCGAGATATTGGGGTTTGTTGATGTGGTGGGGAGGGGGGATACCTAGTGGAGCACACGTTCGTCCGTAGGGGATATGAAGCGCGATTGGACAGAATCTATATTAAGCAGGGAATAGACGTTGTGAGGGTGCAAACCCTTGACGTGGGGTTTTCTGATCACAGGGCGGTAATAGCAGATTTGATGTGGGATGGAGTGGTGCGTATTTATTCTGGGTACTGAAATTAAATGTAAGGCTTCTTAAGGAGGAGGGGGAGGGGCCTTTTTTCAGTAATTGGTGGTGGCATTTTGGGAGGCTAGGGACAGGGAGATAGATCTGTTAGATTGGTGGAAATGCAGGCCAAACCTGGAATATCGAATTTTTTTAAGGTAAGGGGACGAGAAGAGGCGAGGTGGCGTTTTGGGTTGCAAAATTATCTGGAGGGACAGTTGCAAGACTGTTATGTTGGGGGAAGTGGTAGGAAGGATGATATGGACAGTCTGCGGAGTAGAATAGCTGAATTACACAATGATAGGTTTGATGCAATTAGGGTTAGAGCGGGGTTAGAGGACGTATTGTGGGGTGATAAGCCGTCCGGGTTTGTTTTACGTAAATTTCGGGACCGACAGAGAGTAACCACCATTCTACAATTGGAGACAAGCCCTGGGGTGGGAGGGTATCCAGAGGGTCGGGTCCTATCCAACACGGAAAGTACGAGTCTCTATGCTGATAGTTGGTTTAGGGAGAAATGGAGTTGGAGGGAGGGGGGCTCCTGGGAGGGTATTTTTGAAGGGGGGTTCCATAGTGTTTTAAGTGAGAAGGATAGAGTGGAATTAGAGGTTGGTATAAGTGAGGTTGAGGTGGAAGAGGCAGTTTTCGGGATGAGTACGGGGAAAACGCCGGGAATAGATGGTATACCAAATGATTTTTACAGAGCACATTGGGGGTGTATTAGGCAGTGTTTTGTTAGGGTATTGGATCATATGTTAACTAGTGGGAAGTTGGGCACATCGCAAAGTACGGGTGTTATAGTTTTGGTGCCAAAGCTGAGGGGGTGGGAAGAGAGTTGAGTGCTTACCGAGCAATATCTCTGATGTGCACAGATTACAAGGTTTTTGCTAAAATTTTGGGTAACAAATTGAAGAAGGTCATGGGTCGGTGATACATGGGGACAGTTTGGTATCCCTGAGAGAGTATGCGGTAGGTCATGGACGTATTCGGGATTTCTTGAGGGTAGTAGTAAGGGAGGTATTCTAGATCTGGATTGGGAGAAAGCTTATGATTATGTGGATAGGGAATTTTTGATTGAGAGTATGGTGAGAATGGGTTTTGGAGGGAGGGTAGTTGATGGGTGAGGACATTGTATGTGGATGCATCAATGAGAGTACAGGTAAATGAAGGTTGGGTAGTCCTGTAAGCATGGGGAGGGGTTTAAGGCAGGGGTGTCCACTCTCCCCAAATTCTCTTTGCGTGCATGCAGAATCCTTTCTATGTTCTGGTTGATGGTGGGATGGGAAGAATGGGGGAGAGTGGAGGCTTTTGTGGGAATATTGTTGGTTATGTAGATGATACAACTGTTTTACTTAATGAGATAGAAGACTTAAGTAAAGTGGGAAGGGTAATTGAGATTTTTGGGAATGCTACTGGGATGAGAGTTAATAAACAGAAATCACGGTTGCTGGAGGTAGGAGCTTGGGTAGGCGGGACATTGGGGAGGAGTTTGGCTGGATAACTGTAGAAAGGCTAAAGATTTGTGGGATTTTGTATTTGGCAGATGTACAGGAGAGCAGAAGGGTTAATTCAGAAATGGTAATGGACAGAGCTTTGAGTAGGCTCCGGAATTTAAGGGCCAGGGATGTAACCTTGCATCAAAGGGTTGTGGTGGTAAATACGCTGATTTATAGTAAGGTGTGGGGAGTGGCGGAAATTTATCCCTTACGAAGTCCGGAAATTATGGAATTACAAAGAAGAGTCTTAAGGTATGTGTGGGGTTTTGGGAGGGCGTGGTTGGGCAAAGATGTGGTAATGACTGCGGTAAGACAGGGAGGATTGGGATTGTTGGCATTAGGATCTAGGGTGAAGGCACTGTATGTGAAGCAGAGGTATATTCGGGCAGGGGGGGAAAGGGGTCTTCGGGTGGGGGAGGTGATGGGGGATATCCGCAAATGGTGGGGTGGCAAGACTTAGTCGAGTGTGAGGATATGTTGAGGTTTATGTTAAAGGTACGAAATGTTAAAAAACTCAAGGTAAAACGGTTGGTGGGTGTGGTTCGTCGTAAGGAATCAATGCAAGGGATGGCAGTGTATCCCACATATGAATGGCGAGTGATATGGGTGGAATTTAGTAAATTAAGAATACAGGCTAGAGCGAGGGAATTAGTATATAGATTTCTTATGGGGACGTTAGCATCGAAAGAGGTGCTAAGACAAATGGGTTTTGTGAGAGAGGCGTCATGCGGTTTTTGTGGGGAAGTTGAAACGGCTTTTCATGTGGTATATTTTTGTTCTGAATTGGAGGTGGTAAGATTGTGGTTGAAGAGGGTTTTCTTGTTATTGGGGGGGGGACAGATATCACCCCTTACAGCTTTAATGTTAGATATAGGAGGGGTGCCCAAAGAGGTGGGAAGGGCCATTAGATACGTAATAGTTGATTACTTGTATATTTCTTGGGGGATGAGGGAGGTGGAGGGAAATATTAGGATAAAGGCGTTAACGGCGTGTTTTTATAGGACAGCGTGTAGGAATAAACTATTATATGGGGGAAGGTGGGTAACTAGTTTTCCGGAGGGATATCGTGAACTAACTGTTGAACGTCTACTCCGTTTGGCGACGGGGTGAGGGGCAAGGGGTTGGTCTTTTCAGTGGTGTGTCCTCTTGGAGTGATTGGGAGCCTGATGAGGAAGGTAGATTGGTTGGCAAGGTAGTTGATGTGGGTAAAGTTTATTTGCAGGGGACCGTCGGGGGCACCGGGGTATTAGACCTTATGATTTTGTAAAATCACAGAGTCAACAGTTGTATGTGACCTTCTGTTTTCCTTTTTTGTTATCAGAACCATTTTGCATAGGGGGTTTATATTTATATGTATATGTGAGGATATGTTTTATACTTTTGAATATGTTGATCGAGTTATCCTTGTCATACGTATCATTTTATATCATATTGAAGGTGTACATTATGAACTATGTATGAAAATATATAAGTATTTTTCTGGGGTTTATATATACCCTTCATTTTGTATGAAAGGTCATATTAATAAATTGATTTTAATCGGTAACATTAACTTTGTGTGTGTGTGTGTGTGTGTGTGTGTGTGGTGTGTGTGTGGTGTGTGTGTGTGTGTGTGTGTGTGTGTGTGTGTAGGTGTGTTTGTGAGAACCAATGTCTTAGGTATAGTTCTCTTATTGAATGTAATATATTTTTATTTTATTTGGTGACTAGTCATTTTGCGTTATATTTCTATGTATAATCCAGTCTGTTCTGTCCGAACGCGTGCACACACACGTATGTGTGTATGCATGTGTATATGTATACATATATATATATGATTGTAGGACTTATTCATACATGTTTTATAATATCTCCGACTGATTGTTTGGAAGTCGGTATGTTTCTTCTCTTTTTTTTTCATAAACTGGGTGGGTTATTTTCAGTAGAATTTTGTTATATTTAAGTGTTAAAATGTATTTTGTGTGTACCAGACATTGTCTGCCACTTCTGTTAGGATGTCACATATTTAGTTTAGGTCCAGTTTATTTAGTGATAAGTCTTTTTGCGTATTTCTTTCTAGTATAATCTAGTCTGTTCGGGAAGAAAGCATGGTTGCATACATGTAGGTGTATATGTGTATGTGTATGTACATACATATAGACATGATTATAGGATTTATTCCTACATGTTTTATAGACTCCGACGTTCTGTTTTGTAGTCGGTATGTTTTACTACGGCAGAATTTCACTATATCAATGTGTTAAAATGTTTTTTGTTTGTTTTTGTGTGTGTACTGACATTGACACGGTTTTTTGATTTGCTATAAATAACAAAGTGGAAAATAAATGCATATTGTAGGCTTGGTGCGTCTTTGTTAATAATAATAACAATGTATATTGTAATGTAGTCTTGTGTAATCTTGCCTTACATAGGTGTATGGGATATAATACATAGAGGATGAGGGACAGTTTGTGTCAGCACAAAGTTAAATGTCTGTGTGCTTTTTGACAGTGAAATTGATAATTCTGTGTAAGAACTGATACTGTGTTCTTTTATCTATTTAATGTATTGTATTGTTTTAAATAAAATATAAAAAAAAAAATTTTAGGAGATAGCTTTTATACTTACAGGTTGTTTCTTCCAAAGAAAGACTAGCAAAAAGTATAATTTGTTTTTTAGGGAATATATAACTAGGTATTGTTAGTATTATAAAATATAATTATACATATTATACAGATCAACACACACATGCACGCACTCGCTCTTTGAAGTTACAAAAAATTCGTCTCAATATGACACTTTTTTTTTTTTTTTTTTTTTTTTTTTTTTTTTTTTTTTTTTTTTTTTTTTTTTTAATACTGAAGACAGGACGCCAGGAGCCGAGCTTTGCCGCTGTAGTTACAAAATAGACAATTTTACATATATTCTTAATTTTTAATAGGCTGTCCATTTTTTCCTGAGATTATAAGGTTAAAAACAAATTTAATTAATTTTCATTTGAAACTCAAAACTGAGGTTTCTAGTTGATATTTTGCTGTTAATTTTTTTGTTTCGATTTTGCACTTACACATTGTTCTTCCTTTACTGTGTTATGCTATTTTTTCCCTTGACCTTACTTGAAACACAACACCCCCTTGACTTTCATGAAGTAAATTCCACCAATGATGAGCGCCACACCTGCAATTGACCCAATGACGATGCCAGCGATGGCACCACCCGTCAGTTCTGTCAGGAGAGAAAACGGATGCTATTGAGAGGTAGGAAAGGAGAGGAGCACAAGGAAACTGATAATGTATCAAGAGTGAATGCTCTTAGGAAATAAACGAAAAAAAGGTCTTTGGCAAGGACATATGGTTAAGTCCTTCACAGGGGGCTAGAGATGGAGTGCGTGTCACTTACTGTTTGGTTTGATGGTGGTGGTAGTAGAACCAGTAGTGCTAGGTGTAGAACCAGTAGTGCTAGGTGTAGAACCAGTAGTGCTAGGTGTAGGACCAGTAGTGCTAGGTGTGGTGCTGTTATTCACTTCTGAAAATTATAATGAAAACAATTAGTATAACATTTGTGGTATGCATCATACAACATAATACACTCAGGAAGCAAGCAAGGCTAATGTATCAAAGGTGTTGTTTACCCTTAGAAATGTTAAAATGCAAGGAAAAAAAAGTAAGGAGGTTTGCTTGCCGTATCCCTGATGGGGGGGGGGGAAGACAATGGGTCACCGACTTATAGTGGCCGTAATTCTGCTCTCAGATACCTGGAGTTCACCTGGAGAGTATTCCGGGGATCAACGCCCCCGTGGCCTGCTCCATGACTAAAGCCTCCCGGTGGATCACGGCCTGATCAGTTAGGCTGTTACTGCTGGCCGCACGTAGTCCGGCGTACGAACCACAGCCCCGCTGAGCCGGCACTGACTTAGGTATCTGTTCAATTCCCTCTTGAAGGCAGCTAGTGGTCTATTGGTAATTTCCCTTATGCCTGGTGGGAGGCTGTTGAACGGTCTTGGTTCCCGGACACTTTTTGTGTTTTCTCTTAGTGTTTTAATGACGCCCCTACTTTTCATTGGGGTTACATTGCACTGCCTGCCCAGTCCTTGGCTTTCGTTGGGAAATTTCTGTGTGCAGATTAGGGACCAGTTCCTCTAGGATTTTCCAGATATAGATTATGATGCATTTCTCTCGCCTGTGATCCAGTGAATACAGGTCAAGTGCTTCCAAGCGTTCCCAGTAGTTAAGGTGTTTGACGGAACTTGCATGTGCAGTAAAGATTCTCTGTACATTCTCTAGATCTGTGATTTCAACAGGCCGGGTGGCTAAAGCTCCCGCTACACACACGGAGGGCCCGGGTTCGATTCCCGGCGGATAGAAACATTTCGACGCGTTTCCTTACACCTGTTGTCCTGTTCACCTAGCAGCAAATAGGTACCTGGGTGTTAGTCGAATGGTGTGGGTCGCATCCTGGGGGACAAGATTGTGGACCCCAATGGAAATACGTTACAGTCCTCGATGACGCACCGACTTTCTTGGGTTATCCTGGGTGGCTAACCCTCCGGGGTTAAAAATCCGAACGAAATCTTTTATCTCTTATCTTGAACGGAGATGTTAATGTACAGCAATATTCCAGCCTAGAGAGAAGTGATTTAAAAAGGATCATTACTGGCTGCATCTCTTGTTTTGAACGTTCTCATTATCCATCCTATCATTTTCCTCTCAGATGTGATAGTGGCACTGTTGTGATCCTTGAAGTTGAGATCCTCAGACATTAACACTCTTAGGTCCTTCACATTATTTTTTCCGTTTTATTGTGTGATTCGAGTTTATAGTATACTCAGTTCTAGCTATTATTTCCTCCAGTTTTCTATAACTGAGTAGTTGGAATTTGACTTCATTGAACATCATATTGTTCTCCATTGCCCACTGGAAAACTTGGTTAATATCTTCTTGGAGATTTACTCTGTCTTCAATGGATGACAGTCTCGTGCAGATCCTAGTATCGTCTGCAAAGGATGACACGGTGTTATGGGTTTACATCTCTGTCTGTCGGATATGAGGATGAGGAACTGGATGGAGGCTAGTACTGTGCCTTGTGGGACAGAGCTCTTCACTTCCGATTTAACTCTATTTACCATTACTCTCTGTGTTCGATTGGTTAGAAAGTTGAAAATCCATCTTCCCACTTTCCCAGGTATCCATTTAACAAGCATTTTGTGCTCTATTACGCCATGATCGCACTTATCAAAAGTTTTTGCAAAATCTGTGTATACTACATCTGCATTCTGTTTGTCTTCAGGGCATCCAAAACTATATCATAATGGTCCAGTAGTTGCAAGAGGGACCTGCTCTGAACCCATGTTGCCCTGCATTGTGCAAATGTTGGGAATCCAAGTGGTTTTCAATCCTGCTTCTTAGTACTCTTTTAAAGATTTGTATGATGTGGGACGTTAGAGTTATTGGTCTATAGTTCTTAGCTATTGCTTTTATAGTGGGGCTATATCCGTTGTTTTTAGTGACTGGAATTTCACCCATGTCTATGCTCCTCCATAGCATATTTAGGGCACGCGAAAGGGGTTTCTTGCAGTTCTTAATGAACACAGAGTTCCACGAGTCTGGGCTTGGAGCCGAGTGCATGAGCATGCATGAAAACAAAAATATTAATGTAGCATTTATAAGACACTATATATACCAGAATATCGTTTCTGTATTCATGACACATCACTGTATATCAATTATAAATCGCATCTCCGGTTGCCTTGAGACTTACCATACATCTCTATGCACTCAATGCATCAATAGTCTCACATCACCGTACATAAGATACAACATACATTACTCTAGATCATGGCCATACACTTACCATAAATTATCACGCAACGCAACATAGACCTGTGATACACCACTATACACTCGGTTCATCACTGTACACTTAAAATGCATCAGGCTTTGCTGGCATCAGTAAATATGAAGTTGGTACCACTTCGCCAGTCATTCTCCTTTCCCTTCTCCTTATCAACAGCTCAAAAGAAATAGGTCTGGTTCGAACACAGAGTCGGCGAAACGTATAAGCTCATTTTCCTTGCATCCTTCCTTGCCTACCTACCTGGAGTCTACCTGGAGGTTATTCCGGGGATCAGTGCCCCCGCGGCCCGGTCTACGACCAGGCCTCCCGGTGGATCAGGGCCTGATCAACCAGGCTGTTACTGCTGGCCGCACGCAGTCCAACGTACGAACCACAGCCCGGCTGATGCGGCACTGACTTTAGGTATCTGTCCAGCTCTCTTGAAGGCAGCCAGGGATTTATTGGTAATTCCCCTTATGCTTGGTGGGAGGCTGTTGAACAGTCTTGGGGCCCCGGACACTAGTGGTGTTTCCTCTTAGTGTACCAATGGCGCCCCTACTTTTAACTGGGGGTATTTTGCATCGCCTGCCCAGTCTTTTACTTTCGTAGGGAGTGATTTGTGTGTGCAGATTCGGGACCATTCCTTCCAGGATTTTCTAAGTGTAGATTATGATCTCTCTCTCTTGCGTTCCAACGAGTACAAGTCAAGTGCTTCCAAGCGTTCTCAGTAGTTAAGGTGCTTGACAGAGCCTGTACGTGCAGTAAAGGTTCTCTGTACACTCTCTAGATCTGCAATTTCACTTGCTTTGAACGGAGATGTTTATGTACAGCAGTATTCCAGCCTAGAGAGAACAAGTGATTTGAAAAGGATCATCATTAGCTTGGCAGCTCTCGTTTTGAACGTTCTCATTATCCATCCTGTCATTTTCTTTGCACTTGTGATCGTGGCACTGTTGTGATCCTTGAAAGCGAGATCCTCAGACATTACTACTCCCAGGTCCCTTACATTATTTTTCCGCTCTATTGTATGGCCAGAGTTTGTAGTATACTCGGTTCTAGTTATTATCCCCTCCAGTTTTCCATAACGGAGTAGTTGGAATTTGTCCTCATTGAACATCATATTGTTTTCCGTTGCCCACTGGAAAACTTGTTTATATCTTCTTGGAGGTTAACCGTGTCCTCAATAGATGACAGCCTCGTGCAGATCCTAATATCGTCTGCAAAGAATGATACGGTGCTGTGGGTTACATCTCTGTCTGATATGAGGATGAGAAACAGGATGGGGGCGAGTACTGTGCCTTGTGGAACAGAGCTCTTCACTATGGCAGCCTCCGATTTAACTGTTGACCGCTACTCTTTGTGTTCGATTGGTTAGGAATTGAAGATCCATCTCCCCACTTTGCCAGTTATTCCTTTAGCACGTATTTGTGCGCTATTACGCCATGATCGCACTTGTCAAACGCTTTTGCAAAGTCTGTGTATATTACATCTGCATTCTGTTTTTTCTTCCATGCACCCAAAGGGCCATATCATAGTGATCCAGTAGTTGTGAGAGGCAGGAGCGACCTGCCCTGAACCCATGTTGCCCTGGATTGTGCAGTTTTGGGGAATCCAGGTGGTTTGCAGTCCTGCTTCTTAACACTCTTTCAAAGATTTTTATGATGTAGGACGTTAGAGCTATTGGTCTATAGTTCTTAGCTAATGCTTGTTGCCACCTTTATGGAGTGGGGCCATTATTCCGTTTTTTAAGTGATTTGGAATTCACCCATGTCCAAGCTCCTCCATAAACATTGTATCAATCGCATCTGCTAGAAAAATGACAGGATGGATAATGAGAACCTTCAAAACTAGGGAGGCCAAGCCCATGATGACACTCTTTCAGGTCACTTGTTCTATCTAGGCGGAATTTTGCTGCACTCTAACAGCACCTTTCAAGGCAGGTGAAATTGCCGACCTAGAAAATGTACAGAGAACTTTCACGGCGCGCATAACGGAGATAAAACACCTCAATTAACTGGGGCGCTTGAGGTTTCTAAACCTGTATTCCCTGGAACGGCAGGAGGAGAGATCTGTTTATATACACCTGGAAAATCCTAGAGGGACTAGTACCGAACTTGCACACGAAAATCACCCCACTACGAAAGCAAAAGACTTGGCAGACGATGCACCATTTCCCCCCAATGAAAAGCAGGGGTGTCACTAGCACGTTAAGAGACCATACAATAAGTGTCAGGGGCCCGAGAAAATGTTTCAACTGCCCCCCCAGCACACATAAGGGGGATTACCAACAGACCCCTGGCAGTCTTCAAGCTGGCACTGGACCAAGCACCTAAAGTCAGTTCCTGATCAGCCGGGCTGTGGCTCGTACGTTGGTTTGCGTGCAGCCAGCAGCAACAGCCTGGTTGATCAGGCGCTGATCCACCAGGAGGCCTGGTCACAGACCGGGCCGCGGGGGCATTGACCCCCGAAACTCTCTCCAGGTAAACTCCAGGTAGTGTACTTAGGGCACGTGAGAGGGGTTTCTTGCAGTTCTTAATGAATACAGAGTTCTACGAGTCTGGGCCCGGGGCTGAGTGCATGGGCATGTTGTCAATGGCTTTTTCAGTCTATCGGAGTTAGGGTAATGTCGGAAATATGGCATACATTTATGGAGTTTTGAGGCTCATTCATGAAGAAATCATTTGGGTTATCGA